GGCCGGTTTCGGGGGTGAAAAGGGCAAAATCGCAGTCTCGGCTCGAGCCGCTTCCTTCCTTCCGGCGAAACCTCTCCCCGAGCCCAAACTTCTTCTTTTCTCCGGGAACGCTCCGGCTGCCGCGGCTCCGGCCCCTTCGGAGGAGGAGGAGGAGGATGAGGATGATGAAGCTGCTTTTCCTGGTGGCCGGTGCGTTTCCCTTCCCTCCCATCCCGCCCTGCCGGAGGCTGCGGCCGCTTCTCTCCTCCCGTTATTCCCGCAGGAGYGCTGGCGGCTCCGGAGCCTTCCCTGCTGCCGGCGCCGCTGGGGCTGCTCTCCGGCGGCGCCGGCGGCTCCGTGCGTGTCCGCTGCTTCGCTCCGCGCCTCTTCTCCGGCAGCACCTTCGAGCTGTTCGGAGCGGATTCCGGGAATCCGGTGCGGAGCGTCCCGGCCGCGCCGCTCCAGCACGCCGTCGACTTCGTCCTGGACGAGGCCGTCCCRGATTCCGCCTGTTTCCGCTGCCGCTACCGGAGCTTCAACGGCAGCGCCTGGCGCAGCTCCCGCTTCAGCGCCGCCATCGCCGTGAACGGTGCGGGAATGCCGGGATGCCCGGAGGGACCGGGATGGGGCCGGCGCGCGGGATATTGCGGCTGATCCGTGCACGTCTCCCATTCCAGCCTCGTCCGACTCGGACTGCGCCGCTCCGGCCGTCCCGAGCCGAGCGCCGCTGCCGCCCTCGGAGACCCTGCAGCAAGGTAACGGCGCGCGGATCCCCCCGGATATCCCAGGAGGGATCCGGGCTCCTTCCCGGACGACGGCAGCCTCTCCCTCCGCTTCCCAGCTCCGTCCTGGATCRTCCCGGTGGCTCTGGGTGTCGCCGGATTCGCGCTGCTGGCGGCGGCGCTGGCGGYGCTGGCCTGGCGAGGTGCGAGTCCCCAGTGATCCCAGGCGGGATCCCATCCCTCCTTCCCCCTCATTCCAGCAAATTCCAGGAARATGGAACGGGAATGCAGCTGGATCCAAGGCAGCCTCGGATATCCAGGGAGATCCGCTGCATCCCTCTTCCTTCCTTCCTTTGCAGGCAAGGCCAGGATTCGGCAGGCAAAGAGGTGAGCGCCGGCGCCTCCCCGCATCCATAGGGATCCGGGGCCTGCGCATCCATAGGGATCCGGGGGTGTTGCCATGGCCGAGACGTCACCAGCTTCTCCCCCCAGGGCCCGGGATTTGCGGCAGAGCGAGCGGCGACGTCCTGGGAGCGGCGAGTCCCGGCGGCCGTGTGCCGAGGCGGGAAGCGCTCCGGCTCGGCTTCCCGGCGACGCTCCCGGATCATTTCCCGCAGAGCTTTCCTTGGATACCTGCGCCCGGGGCGGCTCCGGGGTGAGTGGCGCCGGCTCTGGGAGTGGGATGCAGATCCAGCCGCAGTGCCCGGCCCATCCCCACATTCCCGAGGGCGGGACGGACAGCGGGAGCCGAGCGCGGGCGTCCCGGAGAAGGGAACATCCCGGAGCGCTTCCTTCCCGGAGCCGCTGCACCCCAGCGCCTCCAAGGCTCCCGTGGGACCCCAGTGAATCCCAGATTCCCGGCAGCTCCGGGGGTCCGGCACGGCCTTTCCTGGGATGCGCAGCCAGGAGGAGGCCCCCTCTCYGGCTCCGAGGGCTTTCCCAGCTGGATGGGGCAGGATGGCATGGAGCTCCGTCCGGCTGCTCACGCCTTCCCCGTTTTTGTGTTTCTTTAGGAAAAGAGCCGGGTTTAGCGCTGCCGAGGCCGCGTCCCGTCGGACACGGAGCCGGGGGTGCCGCTCCGGGCTCAATAAAGGCCTTTGCTCCGGGTCGCTCCCGGATCACATTCCAGGGCCGCGTTCCCGGTGCCGGGGCCGACTCCTTGTTCCCACTGCGTTACCTGGTGCCTTGCGACATTCCCAGTCTCCCCATCCCAACATTCCCAGTCTCCCATTCCTAGGGTGTTATCCCCTTCCCAATGCGTTATCCTATTTCGGGTGCATTATCCCGTTGTAGCTACGTTATCCCCTTCCCAACGCGTTGCCCAGTACGTTATCCTCTTCCCAGTTCGTTATCCTGTTATCCCATTCCTGGTGTGTTGTCCTTTTTCCTGTGCATTCCCTCCATGTCTTCCCCCCACCTCCCTTCCAGTCCAAGTGCTTCCTCCCACCCCATCCCGGCTCTATCCAGGTCTCATCCCGCTTCTATCCCAGCCCCATCCCAGTCCCATTCCTGCTCTATCCGGGTCTCATCCTGTTTCTATACTGGTTCTATCCCAGCTCCATCCCAGTTCTATCCGGGCTCCATCCTGGTCCCATCCTGGCTCTGTTGCAGTCCCATCCCAGCCCCATCCCGGCTCTATCCCAACTCTA